GGTGGCGGGGGGGAAAGAGTGCCCATAGACGAGGCTTCCTTACCTTCTTGTTGCTCTTGTTGTAGCCAAAAGTGGCGATTCCGGCACGAGGAGGCACAGAAAGGAGCATTTTCACTTTAATGTTACAGAGCTTGGGAAGGGAGGGGGAAGAGGGGGAAGAGAGAGACACACACACACATACACACATACACACAGAAAAGAGAGGGAGAGGGAGAAAGAGAGAGAGAAGAGAGAGAGGAGAGAGAGAGAGAGAGACAGGGCTTCTGGCTTACGTCACCAAGGCAAGCCAGCCTGGAATCCAGGGCCAGAGTGTCTGCTTTCCGCCAGGTCCTAATGCCGGCCCTCGCCATGACGGGTACAGCGCCCTCGGAAAGAGCTGAAAAAACTAAAACTACAAGAATTAAAAACCGAGATCTTGAAAGAGAGCAGAATAGTCTTGACACAAATATATTAGCTTCTGTTTGCATGGCACAACAGAAGCGACAGAGCAGGCCTTCCTAGCTCTCCAGCCGTTCTGGAATGGCCTTGTCAAGTCATGCTGACAATTTTTTTTTTACATGGGATGCACTTAGCACAATTGCCTGGACTACCTTGCAGGGTTGGTGTGTGTTCCTGTGCATTCCACACTGAAAGGAAATAATATTTTGACCCGTACAAAAGACTCGGTTGTCATCCCAAACATCCTGGGGTGCTCAATATTGAGACATCTCTACAGAGGCATTAATGTATGGAAGTGAGAGCTGGACCATAAAGAAAGCTAACCACCGAAGAATTGATGCTTTTCAATTGTGGTGCTGGAGGAGTATCTTGAAAGTCCCCTGGACTGCAAGGAGAACAATCTTATCCATTTTGAAGGAAATCAACCCTGAGTGCTCACTGGAAGGACAGATCCTGAAGCTGAGGCTCCAATACTTTGGCCATCTGATGAGAAGAGAAGACTCCCTGGAAAAGACCCTGATGTTGGGAAAGTGTGAAGGCAAGAGGAGAAGGGGACGACAGAGGATGAGATGGTTGGACAGTGTCATCGAAGCAACCAACATAAATTTGACACAACTCTGGGAAGCAGTGGAAGACAGGAGGGCCTGGTGTGCTCTGGTCCATGGGGTCACGAAGAGTCGGACACAACTTAACGACTAAACGATGACAGAGGCATTTCTGCCTTGCAGGGCAGAAGGCAATGTCTGGGCAGTTAGCGGATAGCCCTCCAGGGTGTTAGTTTCATTCTCTACACAGATTGGTTCCTGTACATTCTTTTTACCATAGAAAAGAACAGTCTCAAACTCTTTTAATTGCTGAGGCCATCACCTGGTTTTTAGATCTGGCACCAGAAGCATATCTTTAAACTAGAGGGAAAGTTATGACACCCAGCATAGCTAAGAATTAGCCAAACTCGAGAAACCCTATTCACCATTGTTTCTGGATAAGCCACTCTTCTGGATGAGACTCTGTATGATGTCTGATCAAAATGCTTCAAGTGTGCTCAAGGCAAAGATACCACAAAACAACACAACCTGGTGAGAGCTGATCAGAAGCAGGCGAGAGTAGTGCTCAAATCATGCAGAAATGCAAGAGAAAGCATGCACACACGCGCACACACGTGCACACACACACACACACTATGCAGAAAAGCAAGAAGAAGAAAACACACACACATGGGAATGTAATATAAAGGCTGTATATTATTTATACTATGCAGCAGAGACACTTTAGACATAAATAGTAAAAAAACTATTTAATATAAAGGCTGTATATTTATACTATGCAGCAGAGAAACTTTAGACATAAATAGTAAAAAAACTATTGCATTGGAGTCCAGGATAGAAAATAATAGAATCATATTCTACATGTTTTACACACACAGTATCAACTTTTAGGTTCACAATGGACACAGGAAGCTATCCTACACTATGTCAAAGCAGTGGATCACTGGTTTTGAACCTTGGGAGTTGCAGTCCTTTTTGGACTGCAACTCCCAGAATCCTTTACCACTTGCTCTGCTGGCAAGGTCTTCTGGGAGTTGCAGTCAATCCTTTATCACTTGCTCTGCTGGCAAGTTCTTCTGGGAGTTGCAGTCCAAGTATGTTTGGGAACGACTGACAGACCAAAACTGTCACTCCTCTGATTACCAGCAGCTCTTCTAAATCTTACACAAAGATCTGTTCTAGCTCTACTAAGATGTCAGGGGCTGAACATGCTGGATAGATAGCTCAGTGGCTTACGTAAGTCTCTAGCTGTCACTTGCTCTGCTGGCAAGTTCTTCTGGGAGTTGCAGTCCAAGTATGTTTGGGAACGACTGACAGACCAAAACTGTCACTCCTCTGATTACCAGCAGCTCTTCTAAATCTTACACAAAGATCTGTTCTAGCTCTACTAAGATGTCAGGGGCTGAACATGCTGGATAGATAGCTCAGTGGCTTACGTAAGTCTCTAGCTGCAGAGCCAGAGTCAGGAAGTTCGATTCCCCCACTGTGCCTCCTTGATAGGGGCTGGACTTGATGATCCATAGGGAACTTTCCAGCTCTGCCGTTCAAAGGTTATTATTACTACATAAAAGTGCATGCCCTTACTGATCCTCAAGTGAGGAATCATGGCAGCTGCAGTCCAGGAACCTTTGCGGAGTGATCACGTTGGGTCACCCCTGCAGCCCCATACGCTAGCACAGATTCTGGAGAATGACAACATTTACAGTATTTTTAAAAAGCTCACCCATCACTAACTCTTATGATTGGGGCAGTACATCTGGAAGTGTACCAAACACATCTTTGGCATTGACAGCGAGTTTTTATATGCTGTGTTGGCTACCTGTTAAGCCTCACAGAGACACCGGTCTGCCCCCTCACATAGCCCTAGTCCTATCCCCAACCCCTTACTTACCACTACTACATTATCCAAAAACGTTTCTAGCCTTCTATCCTTCCGAGGTCAGTAAAGTTATCCAAAAACGTTTCTGCCACAACGCTGCTCTTTGTATCTATAGAGCACAGTTATAGACACTACAAGACTCTACCTGGATTCCATGAGATGAAGCCTTGACAGCAACAGTGGCACCAAACTGCTATGACCAGTGTACTACAGCTGGTAAACACGTTGCAACTCCACAATAAATATCAGAAATCATTTTATATATGTTTCATTTCATTTTATTTTATTTACTATATCCGCCTATGCAGTTTTTGAACAAAAACACCCTGACTAACTCTTAGTGCATAATCTAGATCTTTATATAGACAACTAGCAGAAGTAACTGCTTCAGATGGGTGGAAACCTTTAGCACCTCTGATGTCCCCCTCAACTCTCTCTCTCTCCCCCCTTCTCCCCTCCTCTATTCTTCCCTTTTCTCGCTGATATTTCTCTATCTCTTCATTCCATCTCTTGGAATTCAGCCCTTCCCCTCCTCACTCCCTTCCGCCTACCTACCAGGCAGCAAGAATACTCTCTCACTTGCCTCCTCCTCCTGGTAACACATTCTCCTCCCAATGCCCAGTGTACCTGGGGGAAGCCTAGAGCCAAAAAATTGTACTGCAGCCTTCAGTACAGGTTGTTTCAAATAAATTTTGTTATTGTTGTCTGCCATCAAGTCAGGCTTTCGAGGTAAGCGAGATATTTAAGGAGACGTTCTTCCAGTTCCAGTTCCCCAGTGAGCTGCAATGGGATTTGAACCCAAGCCTCCAGGGTCCTGCTCCATCACTACTATCCCACATAAGTATTAATACTGTAGTGCTATACAGTATTTTATTGGAAAAGCCCCTTGTGTCCTCTTTGCTGTTCTGTGCTGTCAAGTTGGAACCAACTTATAGCAACCCTTATAGAGATTTCAAGGTTAGTGAGATCTTTAAGGAGGTCAGTGAGGTAGGTATTCTGGCTGTAGAGCCAGAGGCTGGGAGTTCCTTTCTCCCCTGTGCACCCCAGAAAAGCCAGCCTGTGTGGCCTTAGGCAAGCTGCACAGTCTCAGGTTGCCCTCAAAAGTAGGAAGTGGTAAAACACTTCTGAGCAACCCTGAAAATAGTTGCTCTAAATCAGAATTGACTTGACAGCTTATAATTTACCACTTCTATACCTCCAGTGAGTTCCCATTGGCTGAGCTGGGATTTAAACTCGGGTCTCCTGAGCCCTAGTCCATCACTCAATCCACTACATCACATTGTGTCATTTCAAATAACTAAAATTCATTAATTCAAAAATAAAATAATCCCAAGAGGCACATAAATAGGACATATGCAGAACAAGCTTTAGGTTGGTAGGTTTCCTGGTCTTGAGCTATAGTGATGAGAAACTGACAGAGACCCCCCCTCCCCTTATTGATATATAAGTAATTACAAAGAAATATTTTACATTTCTTTACCCATAGATAAATAGGAAGTGTCACATTGTCATTGTGTAAGACCACAACCCAGCATCCACTGACCACCAATAAGCAATACCCTGGATTGAGCAACAGTTCTGAAATGTGCATTTGGGGACACCTCAACAGGATCGTATACAGAAACTCCAATCAGCGATCAACTTACTTTTTCTTATGGTACCTGAAATCCCAAGCCCCACTGCCAACAGCCTGATGTTCCACCTCCTTGACTCAGTTGGAAGATTCTATCAACTTACCATTCAGAAGAATTGCATGGAAAAAAAATAAGGCAATAGAAGGGTCCTCTTTCATTTGCTTTCTTTTTTCAGCTTGCCTTTGCTTACTTGACAAACTAAGATGAATGGGCCTCTATCATGTATGCATTTCCTTTTACACCTGTGGCTCCTTTCAAGACCGGTAATTGCCTCTTGGATTTTAATCTGCAACCTTCCACTGGAACAAGCAGGAACCTTTAAGGACATGTCAAGACGGTCATGTAAAAAAATTCCATTAGGAAGGCAACTCAGAATCCAGCATCTAAAGGAACAAAAAAGATCCAGTGCACGATTGAACCAAGGCTGGGAAAAATTAAATCCTCCAGATCAGGTTTGATTGCAGATTCCATCAGCCCCAATCATGGACTAACCATAACTGATAATAAGGAATGATAGGGCTTGCAGTCCTTACTTCTGGAGAGACGAGCACTTCCTTAATACTTACACAAGCAGACATTCCCACAAGAGCCCCAAAGATTTCTATATCATAAAGAATATCAAGAGGTTCCTGCTTAAGGTTGCCAAGGGACCATCCATTCCAGCTTCCTATTTCTCTCTGAGGCTAATAAAATGCTTCAGGGAAGCCACAAACAAGGA